ATCTTTGCTATTGTTTTCTTCATTTCTATTTCATTTTTTTCTGCTCTGTTCCTTATGATTTCTTTCCTTCTACTGAGTGGGTTTTCTTTGTTCTTCTTTCTCTAGTTGCTTTAGGGGTGGTGTTAGATTGTTTATCTGAGATTTTTCTTGTTTCTTGAGGTGAGATTGAATTGCTATAAACTTCCCTCTTAGAACTGCTTTTGCTGAGTGCCATAGGTTTTGTGTCATCGTGTTTTCATTGTCATTTTGGTTCTATGTATTTTTTAAATTTCTTCTTTAATTTCTTCAGTGATCTCTTACTTATTTAGTATTAGTAGTGCACTGTTTAGCCTCCATGTATTTGTGTTTTTTAGAGTTTTTTTTCCTGTAATTGTTTTCCAGTTTCATAGTGTTGTCATCAGAAAAGATGTTTGATATGATTTCAGTTTTCTTAAATTTTCTGATTTTTTAATTTTTATTTTATTTATTTATTTATTTATTTGCGGTACGTGGACCTCTCACTGTTGTGGCCTCTCCCATTGTGGGGCACAGGCTCCAGACGTGCAGGCTCAGCAGCCATGGCTCACGGGCCCAGCCGCTCTGCGGCATGTGCGATCCTCCCAGACTGGGGCACGAACCTGCGTCCCCTGCATCGGCAGGCGGACTCTCAACCACTGCACCACCAGGGAAGCCCTGAGGCTTGATTTTTGACCTCAGACGTGATCTATCCTGAAGAATGTTCTGTGTGCACTTGATAAAAAAGTTTATTCTGCCACTCTCAGGTGGAATGTTATATAAATATCAGTTAAATCTGGTCTATTGTGTTATTTAAAGCTTTGTTTCCTTATTTATGTTCTGTTTGGATAATCTGTCCATTGGTGTAAGTGGGGTGTTAAAGTCCCCTACTATTGTTGTGTTACTGTCGATTTCCCAATTCATGGTTGTTAGCATTTGCCTTATGTATTGAGGTGCTCCTATGTTGGGTGTATAAACATTTACAATTGTTATATCTTCTTCCTGAATTGATCCCTTGAACATTATGTAGTTTCCTTCCTTATCTCTTGTAACAATCTTTATTTTAAAGTCTATTTTATCTGATACAAGTATTGCTACTCCAGCTTTCTTTTGATTTCCATTTGCATGGAGTATCTTTTTACATCCCCTCACTTTTAGTCTGTATGTGTCCCTAGGTATGAAGTGGGTGTCTTGTAGACAACATATATATGGGTCTTGTTTTTGTATCCATTCAGCCAGTCTGTGTCTTTTGGTTGGGGCATTTACGCCATTTACATTCAAGGTTATTGTTGATATGTATGTTTATTACCATTTTCTTAATCGTTTTGGGTTTGTTTTTGTGGGTCTTTTTCTTCTCTTTTGTTTCCTACCTAGAGAAGTTTCTTTAGCATTTGTTGTAAAGCTGGTTTGGTGGTGCTGAATTCTCTTACCTTCTGCTTGTCTGAAAAGCTTTTGATTTCTCTGTTGAATCTGAATGAGATCCTTGCTGGGTAGAGTAATCATGGTTGTAGATTTTTCTCTTTCATCACTTTAAGAATATCCTGCCACTCCCTTTTAGCCTGAAGAGTTTCTGCTAAAAAATCAGCTGATAACCTTATGGGGATTCCTTTGTATGTTATTTTTTGTTTTTCCCTTGCTGCTTTTAATATTTTTACTTTGAATTTAATTTTTGTTTTTCTGATTAATGTGTGTCTTCATGTGTTTCTCATAGGGTTTATCTTGTAGGGAACTCTCTGTGCTTCCTGGGCTTGGGTGACTTTCCTTTTCCATGGGAAAGGATTATAGTGGGAAGTTTTCCACTATAATCTTTTCAAATAATTTCTCAGACCCCTTCTTTTTCTCTTCTTCTTCTGTGATCCCTATAATTTGAATGTTGGCATGATTAGTGTTGTCCCAGAGGTCTCTGAGCTTGTCTTCAATTATTTTCATTCGTTTTTCTTTATTCTGCTCCTTGGCAGTTATTTCCACCATTTTGTCTTCCAGCTCATTTACTTGTTCTTCTGCCTCAGTTATTCTGTTATCAATTCCTTCTAGTATATTTTTCATTTCAGTTATTGTATTGTTCATCTCTGTTTGTTTGTTCTTTAGTTCTTCAGACCTTTGTTAAACATTTCTTGTATTTTCCTAATCCATGCTTCCATTCTATTTCTGAGATTCTGGATCATCCGTACTATCATTACTCTGAATTCTTTTTCAGGTAGATTGCCAATTTCCTCTTCATTTATTTGGTCTTGTAGGTTTTTGTCTTGCTCCTTCATCTGTGACATATTTTTTTGTTCTCATTTTTTTTTTTTTTTTGATGAGTGGGATTGTGTTCCTGTCTTACTTGTTGTTTGGACTGAGGCTTCCGACACTGGAGTTTGTAGGCTGTTGGGTATAGCTGCATCTTAGTGCCAAGATGATGACCTCTGGGAGACATCACTCCAATGAATATTCCTTGGGGTCTGAGGTTCTCTGTTAGTCCAGTGGTTTTGACTCAGAGCTCCCATCACAGGACCTTTGGCCTGACTCTCGGCTTGTGAACCAATATCCTGCAAGCTGTGCAGGGCAGCAGCAAAAAAAAAAAAAAAAAAAGAATGATAATAAAGTAAAAAATAAAATTAGACTAGGAAACTAACAGATATGTTAGAAAGAATATAAAGATAAAAGTATAGATGAAACAACAACCAGAAGGCAAAACAGAACCACAATAGTAAGAAAGAGGAGGAGAAAAAAACCAAAAAGGTGGAAATGGCCTTGGCTGTGGAAGGCATGTCCTAAGCAAGGGTGGGGTTTGAGCAGTGGGTGGGACCTATGCTTAAGACCCACAGGGCTGGCAAAGGCCCTGGGAGGTATGGGGGGTGGGGCTTAGGCTTAATGGAACAGAAGGGGCCCAGGTGTGCCTCCCACCTCTGGTCTCAGAAAGCAGGGGCCCCACCCGGGAGCCCAGCAGGCTTCCCAGGCTCAAGTAGGCAAGACAAATGCCCTCTGTGCCTCTCCTTCTCCTCTGGTCCTGGAAGGTCTCTCCCTCCTGCCTCTCTTGTTCTTCCCCCAGCCTCCATCCTATGCCCCCAGGACCAACGCAGCCCAGAGGGTGACTCTGAATGTTTAGGACATGGCCCAAGAGCCAGGAAGACTTCCCCAGCCTATTGGGCAGGGGAAACTCTGGGTGCACTCCCCCCAGTCCAAGCCCCTGAGGGTCTCTCCACTTGGGAACCCCTCCCCTCTCTCAGCCACCCCTCAGGGGCACCCATCCTGTCTGGCCTCCACTTCTCCTCCCCCCTCAGTCCCCCCACATCCTACCGGTTTGCTTGGGGGTTCCTCTCATTTCCTTGGGCATCGAGGTCCCCCACCAGTGTCTGGCACATACCCTAGTTGTGGGGAGACATGAACTCCACATCTTCCCACATTGCCATCTTGACACTGCCCTCCTTTCTTTTAAATTATAGTTTTGCTGGATGTAAAATTATAGGTCCCCTCTTTTCAACAGTTTTTGCCCTAGGTTCTTTTTTTTTTCAACAACGTAACTTGTGAAGTATTTTGTCAGCATGATATTTACTCCTCTGCTACAGAGTGATCATTTACAGAGTGGCACTGTGATCTTTTAGAATTTTATATTTATCTATGATGTTACTGATTTTTCCTATTATGTGTCTAAATGTGCTTTGTTTTTCTCTTATGTATCTCTTTGACCTTTCATCTGAAGTTTTCACTCTTTTTTCCCCCTTACATTTAAGATAGCTTTAGTCATTATTTTTTTTCAAACATTTCTTTCCTCCTAGGACTCTTGCTAGACTGATTTTGTCACTTTTGCTTCTGTATTCTATAGCTCTTAATCTTTAAATATTTTCTTAATTTATTGTTTCCTAATGCCTCTAAGAGGATTCGTCAATCTGATATTCCAGTTCAAGGATCTGTTCAGTATCTACTATATTCTTCAGTCCCTATGTTCAGTTCTTTATTATAGCTTATATAGTTCTGTTTTAAAAGCCAGGTTTATTGAGGTATAATTTACCTACTGTAAAATTTTCCTTTTTAGTATACAGTTCTATGAGTTTTGACAAAGCATAGAGTTGTGTAACCTCCACCACATCCAAGATATAAAACTTCCATCAAAAGAAAAAGTTTCCTTGTGCTCCTTTGTAGTCTATTCCTCCCTGCAACCCAAGTGCACTTGCATGTATCCATAGCTAATTTCTTATTTTTTACTGAAATATAGTTGATGTACAATATTATTTCATAATTTTTAATGAAATCAGTTAGCTTAATTGAGAGACTTTCCTCAGCCATGTTTTGCATCTCCAGTACAAATTTAGAGAAAATATATAATACAGTCCATCCAGGTTTTTGTTGTTGTTGTTAGTTTTTGTGAGTTTGTCACAAGGAGAGAAGGAAGCAGGATAAATTAAGGTACTATTAAAATGGCTGAGAATATGAAACATGTAATGAGAGAGGCAGTAAAGCCATAATTGAGCTGGGAAGGCTCATTGATTTTGAAGTCTCAGTGAGGCTGAAGAAATGTTGTTTTGGGATATTTGAGAAATGAAGGTGGTAGATGAGAAGTAGAGTTCTAAGAGGAGGATGTGAAAATGAAATTTCTAAAGTTTTCCATTTTATTTGTGAAGGTAACATCTAGGAATGGTCCTGGCAGCGGATGATTGAAAAGGAGTGGATAAGAGTATCTTTGGAGTTGAGTGGCTCAAAGAATTGAGGGGATAGAGACTTCTGTGTGAATTTTGAAATTGCCAAAATTACATAAGGAACTATTATGATCCATGAATGAACATCATCAATAAATAAAACTTCCTAGAAAGCTGATCAATAACAGCAATGAAAAAAACAACAAAGTGATAGTATTTAATGAAATAATTTTCAAAGGGACAGGGGGTTTTGTAAAGAAAAGAGGGAGCAATGGTTAGAAAGTCTTAATAGGAAAAAAAAAAAGGTGAACATATTTATCCCAGAAGTTGATCTTTTAACATTTTCTTGATTACTTCAGTAGTGTAATTGTTTTTATTTTCATACAGATGCCTACAACTCTTCCAAGAGCAGCTGGTCGAGAAACCAAATATGTGAGTCCCTTCATAATTATACATACTGCTTTTTATTTTATTTTATTTTATTTTTTTTGCGGTACACAGGCCTCTCAGTGTTGTGGCCTCTCCCGTTGCGGAGCACAGCTCCAGACTCGCAGGCTCAGCGGCCATGGCTCACGGGCCCAGCTGCTTCGTGACATGTGGGATCTTCCTGGACCGGGGCACAAACCCGTGTCCCCTGCATCGGCAGGCGGACCCTCAACCACTGCGCCACCAGGAAAGCCCCATACTGCTTTTTTAATGGGTGCATGTGCATGCTTTGGAGGAAACTCAATTATATAGTCATTTAAATTGAATTAGTTGAATTTTTCATAAATGGAAGGGGTAGGTGGAAAATCACGTTATGTCAGGTAAGTTTATTGAATAAATTCCTTCTTAAGTGAGGTCTCATTTGATTAGTTTGGCTGAATCAAACAGAATTCTAACACCTGCTTTCTGTCTTTCTAATTATCAAGGCTTAGATGATATTTTCATTTCTGTAATGGTTTATCATGCTTATTATGAAAGAGTCAACTCACATAGCTGAAACATTAAGATTTGTCTGTTTCTAAGGGGATTGCCAATTTATTTGATTTGGACTAGTTTGTTGCTTTCTTTCATTTAAATTGTTTTCAAATAAATCGATTTCCACCTATGAGCAAAAATATAGTAATAATGGGTACGTAGGTATAGACTCACACACTTGATTCAATTAATTGTGGAGGTCTGGCTCCGAACATCCTAGATGCACACTCACACACATAGCCTCATCCCATTCCTATTCTTTATTTACCTAATAATCCATCATGTGGCCAACTTCTGCTTCTGACCCAACATGTTCTAGTATAAGCAAGATTGTCTCATAAGCAAGTGTTTAGCTTTTAGTTTAAAACAAACCAGTAAACTATTCCCTTTAGTTTATACTTCATATTTTCTACTATGTAGTTTTCATCATCATCATCATTCAGAGTTAATAATTAGTAAATATAAATTTTGTGACATATCTTCTTTGTAATTTATACATTTCTGCCTTCTTTAGAAGCTCCCTAAGGCAGATAATAAATTGGGTGAAGTTACTGAGCTTCATCACATTCAGAAAATAATGTTTGGAAGGTATGGATGGGAACACTGCTTAGAACATTTTCTAGAAGGCTTCACTGTTATTTTCTGTTATTACTGGAAGTCATTTGGAGTAATACTTAAAAGAGTGGAGGCATTTAGCGGTCTATACCCAAGTTTTACTCACAGTGTTGCTGCTTGCTAATGAATCCTGGAAAGTCACTTAACCTCTCTATGCCTTAATTTTTTTTCATCTATAAAATTGGGATACTAATATTTAGTTGATGTAACGTTTATAACTGTTAACATATGAAAAGCCCTTACTGTAGTCTGACACATAGAAATGATTCAATAAATAATGGTTCTTCCATTTTTTCCCTCTCTTTTTCCTTTGTTTTTCCCTTCATCCATGTCTCCCCCCTTCTCTTCCCCTCCTTATCTTGGAAAGACTAGACGCACCATGATTTAGCTGAGTTCCTTGATTCTTCAGTTGGATATAAGAAAAGAAAGTCCCTAAAAATGCTTCTATTTTTTTGTCACTGAGACATTCTACAAGAGCCAGACCCAAGAAAAAGTAGCTAGAATATTCTTTACTCTCACCTTCCTTTCTCATCTACTCCTAATTTGCACCCAAGTGCATCTGATTTAGACTCATTTATAATGAGGTACAGAGAGCTGATGCCTCCTCCCACACCTCCTGGAGGTGGATAATTTGATAATAATGGAAACAATTCTGGAGGGGCTGCTTCAATCTCCATAGTTAGAGGTTATGTCACATTGTTCTTCTGTCAGTTATCTGACTTGATTAAAGGAGGTTAACATTTGCCGCAAACTTTGTGAGAGCATTTGAGTCATTCAAAGTTAACACTGAATCATCAAATAGATTTAATATAGCCTCGAACAAATATAAACTCTAATTCAGATAAAATTATTGGCTTTGATTAAATTTGGTTTCTTGGAAAAGCTTTGTTTATTAATTTCTCTCACAAAATGACATTTGAATTGTTGTTTGTGACACCTCAAATATGTCCATGTCTTTTGAAAGACTAGATGGGAGCTAGCCAGAGCACTGGCTGATGTTAAAACAAATGTACAAAGTTGCTAGTTTTCAATGTGTCAGTATGTCCATTGGATTTCCAATTTTCTTGGGATGATGAGAGTGGTTTAATTAAATAATGAGAAATGATATGACTAATTCCTCTTTAGGGGACTTTGATAAAAAGCTGACTTTCCTTCATCAAAAAAAAAAATCCATGTAAAACGATTCATTTCCTTTTCTTAATCTTGATTGCACATATTGTTACATTTCACTTAGTCTGTTTTTTAGGATGAGCCAGATACAGTAAAGGACCTTCAACTTAGACTAATTAAAGTCCAGGTTTTTCTTCAATTCATCGTGTACTTGAATTGCAGTTTAAAGTAATTTAATTGAGGTTCTCTTAAGTGTCATAGAATTTAAACAAGGCGAACAAACACGTTGAGTGGTCCTGATCTCCACAGGTCACCTGTGGGATTGATTAATTTATCATTCGTATTTCACTTGATTGTTTTTAACAGATGCCAAATTCAACAATCATAATAACTAGTGTTTTGAGTTCTTACCTTGCAAATCAGTTTTAACTATCTCATTTAACCTTATACCAGTCCTATGAAGTGGGTATGATTATTTCAAATCTCCATTTTATGAAGGAGGAAACAAAGTCACAGAGAAGGAAAAGTCCAACCCAGGTCTTCCTCATGTCAAAACCCCTGTTGTTATTATTTGCGTGTACCAACAGGGGCTAGAAATAATTTGTCTTCCTTAAATATTTTATCCATTAGTATTCATATTCTGGGTTTAAATTAATTCTTCATCCCCAGTAAACTCCAGCTTAAACTTTGAATGAATAATTTCATATTTGGTGACAACTTCTAAGATGATAATGTTTAGTATATTTCTAATGTTTTAAATTATTTGCTTACATGTAAATTAACTCATAATTTATCAGTTAATCTACAAGTGATTGTTTCTCATGGCACTCATTTTTAAAGAGTTTCCTTCCCTCTATGTAATGGAATGAATTTTCTAATTAAATTTCTATTTCATTCTGTTTTCACTCTATCATCTTTGGAGGGGAGTGTTATTTTTTTTTCTTTGCATTACACTTGCCTTAGTAAATGTTTATTATTTTTCATTAACTGCTACCAGTATAAATTCATTTCACTCATGTAATTCAAAACCACAGTATGCTTTCTTAATAAAGAGCAACCTCAGAAAACAGGGCAAATATTTGGACCTATTACTAGTTTATCTAAAAAACTGTCATTTGGAGTCACATTCTATTGATAACAACTTATTTAATAAACTCTCTACATTTAAGAAGTTACTTTTAAGTGCCAGAGAATTAACAAAGACAGCTTTATTGAATATGATATAGCATAGAGGTAAAATCTCATTTTAATGAGCTTGAGGGACAGAAAAATATCATTACAGTGGAAGCATATTGCTTTAAAAATATCACAGAATATGAAAAATGTGTCAAACTTTATTAAGAATATTTCCCTCTGTATATACAGATGTTTAAATAAAGGTCATCTTCTCCAATTAAGCCACCTCACACAGTCCCCTTGTTGCTATGCTTGGAAACGTTGCTATGCTGGAGTGTTTCAGAGGTGATGTGCCCTAATGCAGCCATAGATCTTAAGAGTAAGAGGTGAAAAATCCAATCTACTTAAATCCAGACATGGATCCAAATCTGCTTCTATAGGTTGTGACCAGAGATTTGATGAGTTATGAAAAATATAAGCAAGAAATTCCACTCTACTGATCATTCTTCATTCTGTCTTTCTTTCCTTTTTTTTTTTTTTCCACTGTTCAGAAATGTTTCCAAGGTATGCATGTGTGAGAGGGGATGAGGAGGGAAAGGAAGGTAATTATATAGGCTGAGCTAAATGAGGAAGAAGAGAAATGATTTAATGAGATATCCTTTATGCCTTGGTCCTTCTCTTCATCATTTTAGATGTCACCAAAAATGAAGGCGCCATATTTCAGCCACACTTCCCTTGATCTGATTTTTTATTCCTCTTTTGCACATGTAAACTGTGACTGTCGCTGGTCACTATGCCCTTTTATTCTGCCTACAAATTATGTTCATAACAATGTGGAATCATCATTCCCTAAGTTACTGAGTCAAACTTTTTAAATACTTTCAACTCTACTTTTTATATTTAGACCTTTTGGGGACATATCACTAACTCATAACATAGCTCTTAGTGAGATATTCATATAGGGTAAGGTCTACAAGTAGAATAAACAGTATGAAGCAAGAAAAATATGACGTCTCATACATATATCTCTCTGTCCTTGGTGCCTACCATGCTCACCATTGGATTCAACTTTTTAAAATTTTATTGAAGTGTAGTTGATTTACAATGTTGTGTTCACTTCTGCTGTACAGAAAAGTGAGTCAGTTATACATATATAGATTCTTTTTCATATTATTTTCCGTGTTGGTTTATCACAGGATATTGAATAATTCCCTGTGTTATGCAGTAGGACCTTGCTGTTTATCCATTCTATATAGAGTAGTTTGCATCTGCTAATCCCCAACTTCCAATCCTTTCCTTCCCCACCTCTCCTCCCCCTTGGCAACTGCAAGTCTGTTCTCTATGTTTGTGTGTCTGTTTCTGTTTCGTAGATATATTCATTTGTGTCATATTTTAGATTCCACTTATAAGTGATATCATATGTTATTTGTCTTTCTCTTTCTGACTTACTTTGCTTGCTATGATAATCTCTAGGTCCATACATGTTCCTGCAAATGGCATTATTTCATTTTTTCTATGGTTGAGTAATAGGCCCTTGTATATATGTACCTCATCTTCTTTTGGATTCAATCTTTTGAGTAGTGCCTTATGTACAAATAACAGGAATGCTCTCTAGCTAAAGGGTAAAACAGTGTCTTATCATCTTATAATTTTATATTTCCTCAATGCCAAGCTCAGCAACTCAGGGATTATTAGGGGCTCTGTTGATATTTTAAGTTTTACCTTTTTGCTTGTCTGTAGATCAGTCTTATCTGGGAGAACTAAAATAATTCAATTAACACATTATCACTAATTAGAGTTCTTTGAGCCTTAAGAAAAGAAAACTCAGGACAATTAAAGTCAACAGGGAAAAGGTCAAAGAGAAACATTTTAATCCTATTGAATTGGATGTTATATTCAGGGAGGAGGGACATGACTGCTGAAAGGCAAAAAAATATTGCCCAAAGTAGAAGTGCATAGGGTAGAAGGCAAAAATAACTGTTCAACACTTTTTACCTGATACAATTTGATTTTGTCCCAATCTCCCAAAAGGTGTCTACTAGTGTGATGCCTGACACCCATGAGTCGAGAATGGGGAAAAGCTGCAGATTGAAAGGAAAAGCAAATCTAGACAACAGCTGAGGAGCTTGGATATACTTTATGTGCCTCTGGCATGAGGTCTTTGGAAGAAGAAAATGGTTTCTCCAAAGTGGGCTTGGCCTAAGTGGTGGCTTTTGTGTAGCAATTTATTTTTCAGTGGTTCTTAAATCTTCATTTCTTTCCTTAGTCTTAACTCTTTCAGTTTGCATATAACCTACCGCTTTAATACGTTTTCTTTGAAATATGAAATTTTGACTTCCCAATTTTTTGACTGCTCTGTTTGTTTTAAAGTTTTGTTTGTTTCTTAATGGTGATATGCTGGTTAAAATCCTCCTACTCTATCTTCCTCTCACTTTTTTTCTTTTGTAATTAAAATGATGTCAAAGGCTGTAGAATACAGATTATGGGATCTTGTTTCACACAAGAGTCATTCTTATACTCATCTCTAACCTTCTTCATGGTTAGTATTAGCGTGGATAGAACAAATGACTAAAAGCATCAGTGCTGTTCAAGTCCAATTTCAAGTTTATTTTTAGGTACCTCATGTTGCTTCTCTTCCTTAGTTTAGTTGACCAACTGGCAGTTTTTTAAATATAGTAGCCTCCTCTTGCTACTCACCATTCCAATCTCAGCTCACCAGACAATCTTTCTTTACTTTTCAAAAATCATTGCTGCAATATTGTAACATAACTATAGCTACAGAATTTAATAAACACTAACATGTATTGGGCAAGCAGAGGGAAGCTTCTCAAAGAGTTTGACACAACTGGGTTAGTTGAAAACATCTGGTTATATTTGTGATGACACACATAAGCCAATATTCTTTTTCTTTGATAAAGGATCTGCAGTAGCTTTATAAATATTAACTCTACCCTGAGGTTCAAATTTAATTCTGTTTTTTCCTCTGGGAATAGTTTCTCATAATAGTGATATGAAGTCCATTATATTAGATGAAATAAAACTGTACTGGGGATGTCTAAATCACCTTATTGTTATGTCATAATTCCCAGTGAAGAAATTTTGGGGACTTATGGAGACTGGATACTAAGATATTTGTGTTTTTCCCTAATTTAATTAATGTGTTTGCCTGAGCACTTTCTCTTTTTTCCCTATGATAGTTTGGTATTATTTAGCACAAAGTACTGAAAAATGTTAGTAATATAGTTAAATTGTGCAAATACTTTATTTTTAGTGTATGACTTCTTTTTTCCTATAAGTATTGAGGTAAAAATATAACTATATTTTGTTCCTGTCAAGACACATTCAGTTCAGCGTATTTCATAGAAGTCATTTAACTTAGGGAATTCATAGAGAATTCTCTCATTACTGCAATAATGAAGAATTAACCAAAAGGAAAAATCCTAAGACATTAGAAGAAATCGTTATTACTCATATTACATTATGAGGTTAAAAATGAAACCCTAGGTGAATTGAAAAATCACTGGGATAGGCATTCTGCAGGGTAATTTTCTGCAGCACAGAATAACCATGAACCTCAGCGCACGGTAACCTGGTCCACAGCAATTAGAGGTGGGGAGCAATTAGCCAGGACATACTGCTGCTGTAGAGCAAGCAGGGATGGCAGTGAGCAGTGACCATCCTGGTGAAGAATGTCATGAGTCAAAAAATCAAAAACAAACCATGTTGGACACAGTATGAGAAGGACAGCAGGTGCCTGGTCATTATGTTTGGTGACTCACACTCTTACATATTTGGCGATACCATAGGAACCACTCAGCTTTCAGTTATCATTCACTTCTCAGAGAGTAAAAGCAATATTGACACATCTGTCATAACCCCGAAAATATCTGCAATTTCAAAAAGAATAGAGATAGTGTAGGAACACAACTTTATCATGTGTCAGCCAAGTATATTTATGATTGTGCATCTGTATGTTGACCACTTCCCTGATGTGGAAGCCTGGTCTCCCATTCAAGGGCAGAAAAGCTTGAGAATACATAACTATTAAAATATATATATGTAACCCAATCTACAAGAAAGAAAGAGTAACTGTGAGTGTCATAAATGAAGAGGGAGCTCCAGGTGGGAAAGTTAAGAAGAAGCTTAAGCTCTGGGGGAACACAGGTATGTCAGAACCCAGGTGACAGTAGCCAGGAGCTTAGAGTTTAACTTTCACTATATAATGAGTCAGAGCTGTGGATGAATCCTTTGTGTGCATCCAGGAGCCTAGAAGGCCACATGGCCATGAAGCATGTGATAGAAATAGACATAAATCCTCCCACCATCTTTAATTTACACTCTTGGGTGGTAATATAGTCATCCATGAGAAAATGGGTCCTAAACCTGTGAAAGTTGAAGATGTGGGGACCTGCCACCCTGTAAGTTCAGGAATATGAGGGCGATGAAATAAAACGGAAACTGGTCCAGAATCAGTGAAATAGCTGGGCCCCCCATTAGGGCAAATGTGAAATGTATTGTAGGCATGGTTTCCCAACCCAGGGTTTCTCAGATACCTACAGAAATCATCACTGAAATTACCCTGACTGAAGAGGAGCTCAAAATCAAAAGTAAAAAGCCATCAAATGAGTAAAGAACATCATGGGGCAGAGGCATGAAGGAGAGTCAGCAGGTACAAGAAACAAGGGATTTAGCCAAGAGAGATTATAGAAAAATCTGGAATGAATTTATAAATATAATAAAATGTTGAAATAGTTAAAAGGAATTACAGATACCATAAAGAAGATTTGATAAGGAACCAAATTGAACTTCTAGAAGTTAAAAATAATGTCATTAAAATATAAAATTCAATGGCAATGTTAAATGTATTAATATACTGCTGAAGAAAAAGGTGTCAACCATCAGGCTTATATGTGGAAATGATCAGAAATGCAGCATAAAGAGATTAAAAAATATGACAGGGAATTTTATAGAGATGGTGAATGGATTCAGAAGACCCAACATATATTTAATCAAAGCTCCAAAGAAGAGATTAAATATAATGGGAGAGAGGCAATATTTGAAGTAATTCCTGGAGGATTTTCCAGAAATGAAGAAAGATATGTATTCTCAGAATGAAGGACTACACCAAGCCCCCAAAAAGGATACATAAAAGGAAGTCCATGCCCAGACACATCATAGTGGAATTACAGAATGTCATGGAGAAAAATCTTAAACACTAAGCAAATGTGAAGACGGATGATCCAAGTTATGACGTTTACATTGACAGCAGTAACAGAAGTCAGAGCAAGTGGGCAGTCCTCAGAATGCTGGGAAATAATAACTATTACCTTAGAATTCTATGTCCAAGTACACGCTCATTCAGGATGAGAACAAAATAAAAACATTTTCAGACAAAGCCCAAGACAGGAAGTTCTGAAAAAACTACCAGAGCATATACTTCAGCAAGAAGGAAACTAAATCCAGAAGAAAGGAGTGAAATTCAGGAACCAAGGATGATGAAACAATATTAGCCTCCTCTTTAATTTAAAGCAATTAAAAATTTTTTTCATGAAAACTTTATTTTCTAATATGAGTAATTTAATGAAAAAATCTGTTATTTGTTTCATTTTGCTGTACATAAATATAAGTAGCTAACAATGTTGGTAAGTTTGAGTAAAATACGGAGTATACAGAGCATGACATATTACAACACCTTGAAGAATTTTTGATGTCTTACGCTAGTACTTGTGTTAAGATGTTAAGGAAAAGCAACATAGAAAACATCATATTTACTATTATGTGAGCTGAACAAAAATGTGTAGGAGAAATATTGTAAGGTAATGTACAAAAAATGTAAAAAAAATCATTTTTTGGTGGCATAATGATATTTTTTCTTTTACTTAATACCTGTCAAAATTCTACAAGGGACATGTATTATTTTAGCAATAAAAAACTTCAGAATACTTGAAAACATAGATATATTATCTTACTAAATTATGAATTTCACTAAATAAACACTACGTTTATAATTTTGCAGGCAAACCTCGCCTCACCATCTTCTACAGTATCTGAGAGTCAGCTGGTACGTATCCTCTTACTAGACATAGACCTGGTACTTTAGAAAAATTCTGATCTTTTAAGACAGCTTTATATGAACAAATGTGAACTGAGAACAAATTGACTGTATATAAGTTTATTTGCTTACTTGTCTAGTAAAAGTTCACCGATGCTTTACTAAAGCTCCATGTGGTTGTTTTGCAAGTCACAGACATACATAAAAACATATATAGAACTTATTTGCCAGTAACTTGCATCCTAGTAGTGGTGTTAGGATAGAATGGGCAAGGCCAGAAGGAAGATGCAGATGGAGGTTAGAGACAAGGACTCACTTCCAGATGGGAGAGATCAGAAAAGGGTTCAAGGACAATGTAGCCTTTGATCATGTAGAGTAGGTTCTGCAATTGAGAAAATGAGATATTTCAGACAGGAAGATTAGCATGTGGATTATCTAGACCAGGGACGAACAATAGAAATATAGTGTGAACCTCAAATACAAGCCACATTTGTAATTTAAAATTTTCTAAGAGCCACATTAAAAAAGTAAAAAGAAATAGGTCACATTAATTTCAATAATATATTTTATTTATATACATATTATCATTTCAATATATAATCAGTATAAAATTGAGATTATTTTACATTCTTTTTTGGGGGGTAAAGTCTTTGAAATCTGCTATGTATTTTACATTTACAGCATACCTCAATTCAGGCTAGCCACATTTCAAGGGCCCAACAAGGGGGCTGGTGGCTACTGTGTAGGACAACACAGATGTAGGCTCTAGAATCTGTTATTTATAGATAAAAATTTGATTAAGTAGGAAAATTACTTTTTCTAACAGTGTTTTGTATTATTGTTACAGTGATGAGCAAATTGGAACCATGATATGTTACCTAGATATTATTAAATATTATCTTTATTATCTTTTAATTTTTATTGTTTATAATTAATTATAAACACCTTCAGCAAAATTGAATGAAAATATCTAGTAAAGCACTGTAAGACATTAAGAAGACAAAATCAGTTTAATACTGATTTTTCCCCCTATTTTAAGCAATTATTTCTGTGTCCTACATCCATAGCCAACAAGTCATCTTGTCATTATCATGCCAAAATGACAATGATATTTTTATTTGTAGTGCTGGGAAATCATAAAAAGTGTAGTTTGACTCTTAAAATAGCATGATTGAAGCAAATGGCTTAGGCATGTTGGTGTTTATACATGCAGTGTGTATATGGGGTGTGTTTGCGTGTGTGTGCATGTATGTGTGTGTGAAGTGTTATTTTAGTGTCAGTTGATTTAGAATAGTGGGCAGCAGTATAGGATAGTTGAAAGAATGCTGGAACGGGGCCAGGAGACCCATCTTTTACTTCTTTCTCTAATGCTAACTACTGGGCTGATAGTGGAGAAGTCAAGAATCTGGGAGACTGGGCTTCAATCTTCTAAATGAACAACGATTACACTCTGTCCAAGCCTCTCTAAGGCAGTGAGTCCATGGTTACTAGTTCAGGGGAGCAAAGGAGTTGCCATGGAAATAAGAGGTACAATAACATTGTGAAGTTGAACAGTTTCCCACTTTAGTATGGAACTATTGTTACAACTATTTTAATATTTAAGATAATGATATATGTACTTGTTTCTTGAGAGTAATGTGTGAAAATTAAGAAATATTTTGTATACTCAACATAGATACAACAGATTTTAGATGTTGAATGTGTGTGAATATATATTATCAGACTGACATATACATATATATATAGATAGATAGATAAATATCAGTTCTTGACAATATTTTAAGAAACTATTTCAAAGAAGCAAATATAGATAATGATTTCATAAATTAAGACATAGTATAAATGACCCATTGTAAATGTAATAAGTGAACTTTTTTGGCCAAATAATTCTATGAATTTGATGTTTTTGTTCTGAGAAAAATACGAAGTGTTGCTTTGACTGACTTTGATGATATTATTTTTGCATTTACTTTAGACATTTTCTCTAGAGAGTTCAAGGAATTTCTTAATTAAGTTTTAATCCCAAAATTCACTTGAGATCTAGGTAGGTTTGTGAAGGGATTATTATCAAGCAGGCTATCACACACAAAAAGAACATCTCTTGGATGGATGTAATTGTTCAATTCAATCACTGACTTCTACTTCATGATATTAACCCTGTATTTACATTCTGTGAATATAGAATAGAGTAGAAGTAATTGCATGCAAGGGATGCTATATGGATTTGCTTTTTTAAGGATTTGTAATATTTTCACTCCTAAGCATTGTAATTTATGAATGAATTATATTTTTATGAATGGATTTCCAATATTTGCCATCATGAACTCTCTTCAGGGTTAAGTTCTGAGTAATTTCAGTAAATAAGAATGCCTTTGAAAAACAAATATGTATATATACACACACAGTATGTGTGTGTGCTTATAACATATACTATACATATAGATGTCGTATGACAGGTAATTCTGATAGCACACACACACATATACATATTGTTTTCTGTTTATATGTGTGTGTACATGTGTATAGCACATAAATACAAGATTTGGGGGAACACATGATAGATTATAGTTAAATTATGTAAGTAAATATTGTATGTTTTGCATAAAGTAAGCAATTAAAATTATTTGATTCCTATTTTAGGGGAGAAATGTAATAAATCGAAGTGAAAAATGTTGAATTGCTATGATAGCACAAGCTTAACACAGAAGCCATTTTGTTTTTGAGCTTTGGCTTTTTAAGAATATATCATGTTTTCATATTTTTTCTTTTTAACGTGGCTTAGCTATTTGCTTGTTTACATTGCAACTGTACCCATTCAACACTGGAAGGAAAAAAAGAAATATGACCTTGCCCATTACTCTTAAAATATTTCCACCGTTTACTCTGAAAACCAAATTATGTAACATTAGGCTCAGAGAGAAGTGTTTTGGGGGTCCTTATGAAACTAGTTCACCGTTTTGTGCCTCAGTTTCTCTTCTTCTATTAAACAGTAATGCAGTACATCAAAACTGGGAAGGACTTAGAGATGAGGATGTTTTAAATACACATCTAGAAAAAATGGAGGTTGGGACAACTACCCTGTCAACCTGAAAGCGTTTTTGTAAGGCTCACATATCATAAAATGTAAAGTTGCCAATGTAGCCCTGTACATATGGGGTGGGGGGTGTTATTATTGCATATAAAGTCTCTGAAATATTATCTCTGAGATTTAACGAGTGGCCATTTTTTACAGATAAAGAAACAGAGGGTCACAGAGTTTGAGTAGATCAACTAAGATCACAGTGTTCGTGGTCATCTTTGTTCCGCGTGACTTTCAAAAGGAATCATTATTGATTTTAAATAATTCAAGGGGAATAAAAAAGGCTGATGAAGGAGTTGGGAAATAGGGCCTCTGCGGAAGTGTGACTTCCCCGGCACATGTGATCATTTTCCGAAGAGAAGGGGCTGAGTAGGATCAGTTAGGGTCCTGAGGCTTCACACCTGTGGATAGTGCATCCCCTGGCATCAGAAAGGGAACAAAAGGAAAGGAAGATCCCGGATCTAGACTGAACCTTCACAAAGCTTTCCTAATTGCTGAGCTGACTCATCATAATATTAACAGAGGCTGGTGGGGTCTCTTTTCTCTGGGTAGGAAAACAGGTTAGGCTTTATAAAATGGGTAAACACTGGTCTTCCTTGGCAATAGGTAAGGGAAACTGGTTTAGGAGACATTTGGCTTTTGCTTTTGAAATTTCATGCCATTACAAAATGCTCATTGTTGCCCAAGATGGAATACTGAATTTAGAGAGTACAAAACAATAGATTTAAAAAATAAACCACATGGTTATATATAGGTAAAAGCAAAATGGAGCTTACTAGAACACTGTACAGAAGAGGCGCTTAACCTTGCAGATACTTTGTTCCCAGTTCTGAAAGCCAACTGATGTGTCCTGTTTTAGTGGTGCATGACTGATCTTTCTAAGGGCCCTTGAGGTCTCTGTTGTTCAGAAAATGCAGCCCTGAAAGCTTTTGCATAGAACTAATGTCTTCTTCAAGCTTGAAGGTGGTTTGTCCTTGACTAATTTTCCTTGACACTACAAGCTCAAGTGCTACAGCACTTATCATGTATGCCTCTTCAGGTCTGAGTCATGCTATTTTCTTTTAACTGTTGAAATATTTTGAACTGGCCAATCTGTGTTGGGTACATTCCAAAAAATATTTTTGGAGTTGTGAGCTGTGGTTTATAATTATGGAAATCCTGCATATGTTTATTTTAATACAGCTATCATAGTAATTATAAAATATATTTTTGGAAAAAGCTCATCAGATAAGTATTTTCCTGGGTAGTCTAGATCATTTGGTATCAATACTCTGTATTATATAATACAAAGTGCAAAAACAGGAAAAAGGAAAAGTTTTTTTTTTCCTTTCAAGTTCCTTTTATGATATTTTTTCTTTACAAATTTCTGTCACGCATATGATCTCCTTAGATTCACACAATCATGTTGTGAGTTAGTATGGCATTGATTGTTATTTCCATTATTCTGATGGAAAAAATCCTGAAGTCTAGATATCTACCATGTGTCAACAGTCTCACACCTAATGGGTGGTATTAAAAACTGTCTGCCCCCTCCTCCCTAATCTTGGAAGCTTTACTCTGTACTATAGTGTTTTGAAATGTTTCTTTGAGGGGGGAAAAAAAGCTTAAGTATTTGCTTCAAGCATATAATATTTTTATTAAAAAAAAGAATTAGAGTTAATAAATTTTTATTAATTGTGAGTGAATCAGCTAAATAATTTAGAAAATATTGCTTTTGTCAACAGTCTTGACTAGGAGAATGTTTTTGAGTTTCTCTGAGCTTGTTGCCACAGAAATTCTAAAGAAAAAAAAAATAACACTGGAGAATATAGACAAGACAGAAGCAAATGGCTAAAAGAAGCAGCGATGGTACTTTCACAAACTCCTTGGATCCATCAAATTAGTCAGACTCACAGAATTTTCTGTATGATGTGTTTTATTACTTTCTTGT